TTTTAATGGACCCACATCGCAGAGCCAATTTCGTCAGAAGAAGCGATGTCGTCGGGTGATATGGGCCGCAACATTTCGCATAGTAAAACAGGAAAAAAATATAAAAATATTAAAACAGCGTAAAAATGAATCCGCAAATTTTCTCATTTTGCTTATTCCTGATAATTAGGTGCTAGAAAAGTGAAGAAACAGAGCTATTTTATCAATGACAACTCAAAGTGTAAACAAAATCAAATCGCTGAGCGAACTTCGTCGGAGAAAGTTCGCTGCCAATATTAAAACACGCTGTAGTGTACGAGATTGCACACAACCAAAGCGGAAAGGAAGTTCGTCTGCGGAAATTCGGCGAGAGCAGATTTATTTTGGAAGATTTTTGAATGACATTGTATACCGAGCTTAATGGCTTAATCCCAAAGTTATTATAAAAATAAATTATTCGAAACTACAATTTCCCCAATACTTGCCGCAATAGATAATCGCCAGTGATATATAAAAAAACATATTTTTGTTTTTCATTCTTTTGTAGTCTTAGCTTTATAAATTTTTAGTTTTAGAACAAAGACTAACAGCAAATATTTTGATATAACCCTATTTTCCAGCTCTTTACAAAATTTTGGAAAATAACTCAATAATTTAAAACTTTCCGACATGCGTATGAAACAATAAAGGTTAGAAATATTTATAAAAAAAATATTGTTAAGTATTTTATATTTAGTTATTTACTAACAACATTAAGCATAAAAATAAAAAAACATTATGAACTCGCTGTGTATTTGTCGGACAACTTGTTCTTAAGCACCGTTGTTTTTGATTTAGTGGTGCAGTCAATTTATTTGAAATTTATGATCGCACAAGCAAATGGCTTGGATTGCTGCCGATGCTGTTCTAGCTTCTTTTATTATTTGATATTTATTTCTGTTATTTACATCTGTAGCTGCCGACTGAGGATAAATGCAAAATTGATAATTGAAATGTTTTCGCTTTACAGCTTGATGCGGCCTGTGGCGTAGCTTTTAGCTGCGCCAGCATAGTGGCCACTTCTAGTACATGAATTTTTGTTGGCCGGTGGGGTGAGTAATGCCACTAAAACCAAAAAAAAAAAATAGTTGGCCTAAGCAGCAGGTGCATAAAGCAATTGCATTTAACATTTGAGGTAGACAATTATGTTTATGTGCGACTGTCGTTGGCGGCTACTAAACTACAGTTAATGTGTTTTAAATAAAATACTTAGTCAATTAGATAAAATCTTAAATTTTTATTGCATTTATTTTATTTTTATTAAGAAGAGAACGTGATTTTTTAATTTAATGTTAATTGCTGATTTAAAGTTAATTTTTGCAGCATAAAAAAGTAGCTTCAAGTTTCAAAGTCGATTTTTATCAATGAAGTTTCATAGCAACTTCATTCATTCATCCGACTACCGAGCTTAGCTAATACTCACCTCATGTCAGCCACAGATTTACGAGTTGCCCACTGACACGCAGGCACCAAAACCGCATGAGGCAAACAATAGAAGTGTTGCCGGTTGCCTTGTCGCCGTAATACCATCACGCGCACAGCTGCTAATAATCTTGGCAAACACATCTAACTACTGGGTGTTCTTCGGAGCGCCTTAAACTCAATTCCAAGTCGCCGTGGCATCAAGCAGCTTCGAGGCACGTTTTAGAGACCACACCGACGCCGACACCGATGCCAAGCAGGCAATCCAACACAAACAAGGTAATGAGCTCTGTAACACTTGCCAACCGAGCGATAAGCGACAAGCGTTGTGTGATTGTGTGGGAATTGTAGCAGCAAAGTACATGGAAATGTATGTATGTAAATATTTGTACACGACTTGATCTTCGCACACACACACACACACACATGTGTAAATAGCTAGTACCTGCATAAAAATAACAATCTTATTTGATTTTTAGTCTCAATGTTTTGCCATCACCAACACCCCCATTTCCTCGTCCACCTCCACCTGCCTTCTGCCTGAACTATTATTATTGTAAATATCTGCTTTGCACTCGGCGTTCCGCACCTGGCAATTAGCACTTGGCAGCTACTTTTCTTACACACACCCTTCAATTTTATTTGTATACATTTATTTTTTGTTTTATTTCTATTACGCCCGCACAATATTCCGAGGTACATATATTTCGAATATCACTTTTTAAATGATCGGTAAGTAAACCCAGTAGCAAGATTGTATGTATATGTGCATTATGCTTTCAATACAGGTACTTAGATGGGGTTATATTGAAGTGGCTGCCGGTGACCCCGCCAGCACACCTAGCCCCTAATTATGGGCCCGCACGCATCTGAGAGACCCTCCCTCCTCTTCAAACCATCGTGTGGAGTCTGCGAAGCTATGTAGTTGGCTTACGGATGCTGAGGCTCGATTTTCAGATCTGCGAAACGGGCCTTCATGAGTATTCAATGTTCAGAAGAAATAAATATTTCATTCTTGCGGACATCGTCGATTATAGCCTTAATGTGAACGTTAAAGCTTTGAGTGCCAAAAGTTTCAGTTCCTCCACTCTTTGGCATCACACCTTGAGAAGTTGGAAAAACTAATTTACCTAGTACAATGGCTGTATAGTCGTGGAGAGTTACGTGCGATGTTGTTCTTGGTTTAGTCCATACAAATGGAGTAAATTTACTTTTTTAACTTAAAAAATGGATATTAATTTATTATCAAATCCATGGAGATATTTGTTAAGCTGAATACTTGAGAACAAAACTTTTTTTACAGCAGACGACGAACTGAATTTGTTGCCGTTCATTGCTGGTCTTCTGTAGTGCTCGGCTCATCCGTGGTCCGATTTTCGCGCTACTCGGTATGTAGATCAGGAAGTAGACAAAAGATCAACAATTGCTGAACCAAATATTTAATTTGATCCTCGTTTAGCGTTATCGGTAGCGTTTGCCTTTGTAAGACGCCGAAGAAAAAAATTCAAACAATGGCATATAAATCCGACACCTTCTTAGAGCCTGGTAGGTCTCATATGAAAGATAAGGAAAAACAGTTTTTGATTCTACGGTGTAACAAATGGCAAACTTAATACGGTCATAAAAAAAAATGGCCTAGGAATGGAAAACAAATTTTATTAAAATATTTTTTTACAACTTTATCAGAGCTGACAACTCGGTAGCTGGACAAAATTTTATTGGGTAAAAAATAAATCCACAAGAAGAAAATACATGACAGTAGTTAACGAATACCGAACTACACCTTTTCCAACAGTATTTCAGAAAATCACAAATGTATTTCAGAAAAGTCCAAATGTATTTCAGAAAAACCCAAATGTATTTCAGAAAAGCTCAAATGTATTTCAGAAAAACACAAATGTATTTCAGAAAAATATTTTTAGAATACAGCTATGCTTTTCTGAAATACATTTGTGCTTTTCTGAAATACATTTGCCCTTTTCTGAAATACATTTGCGTTTTTCTGAAATACATTTGAGGTTTTCTGAAATACATTTGGCCTTTTCTGAAATACAATTGCGTTTTTCTGAAATACATTTGTGTTTTTCTGAAATACATTTGCGCTTTTCTGAAATACATTTGAGGTTTTCTGAAATACGTTTGGCCTTTTCTGAAATACATTTGTGTTTTTCTGAAATACTGTTGGAAAAGGTGTAGACCCTTACCGCGCGTGGTGTGAATGCCTCTAATCATTTAAATAATTCGTGGATCCACTTCCTCAGCACTAAACTACAAAAGTAAAGGGAAACTTGCTCCAAATACCTTGGAGAGGGAAACAAAATTTTAATTTAAAATTTAAAATTTAAAAAAAGTTTTCCGTGGAGCAAATTTTACTGAAAATTCTCTGATCAGTTTCCTAGACGAAGGACGAACCAACTAGTCGTAACTCAAAATCTCTAGCACCTGCACATTGTTAGTTTATTTACGTATCAGCCACAAAGTTTCCTTACGCAAAAGTTATATGTATATGTAAAATTAGGTTTTATCGATTAACTGATAAAGCTTCCAAAAAGACCGAAGAACTACTTCTCCTACTTCCACCCGCTTCTATTCAGTGAAGCGCAAATTTGTTAAATCCAAATATGGCTCAGAAAATTCGATTATGCCAAAAAATGAGTATCTTTGTGGTTTACATACGCAGAATGTTATATACAAAGTTTTGCAAGATACTTCAAGGAAGTGGTTTTGGTAAGATTTTTCCTTATAGAATGTGATACCTTTTCATTCTCCCTTTTTCTTTCGGTTTTAGTTTTAATATCTTTTCCTTCTATCTGTCACATTTCGTACATTCCTCTTATAAAAAGTCCATTCCTTTGTTAGAAAAATGTATTCTAAGTAGTATTTTTTGATTGCTTGCCCCTTTATTGCAATTTTCTTTCTTCCAAGTAAACTAGTCTTTGGTCTGTTCCTTTGAGCTTCGGACTTAAACCTGTGGAACTGTCAAACTACAATTTTAGTCTCTCAAGTCAGATTAAAAGGAGTGTCAGAAGAAAAAATCATGTAACTTCTGAGTGGTAAAAGTTGCTCAGTTACTCTCTCAGGAGTGTTCCCAGGTACTGGTGTTTTGTGCAGAGGAACGAATTCCTGTAAATTCTGAATAAATCCTGTAAACCGTATTCGAATTGGAATATACTAATTTATGTGCATTTGCAAATTCATTAAATTTTAAATTGTTTTTATATTTGTCTCTTATTTAGCTTTGTACAAAATAAAAATGAAAATTTTTGATGTTCCCCCTCAGTTGAGAAAAGTAAAAAAGTATGATGATGAGGTTCTAGACTTGTAAAATGAGTCTTTTTTATGACGAAGATGCCAAATAAGATGTAGGAAAAAGAAAATATTTGTGTAAAATATATACATATTTAATTAGTATGTATGTGAGTGACTCTGTCGTCAATTCATGCAGTTCGTTTAATAAATTAACTATGAGTTTATTCGTTTCATTTTTCTTAAGTTCGCGTTGATTTGATTTTTATGTGAGTTTTTGTGGTTTTGTGAATTGAATTTTTCAATGAAATCGATTAGTAAAGCTTCTCGGTGATCTTAACTTTGCCGTATTTGCCGTGGAGGGCGTGGCGGGCGAAGGCAAGAATGTTGCTATGATGCGCATCCCCCGGGTAGATTTTATGCACCACTGCGGCGTGAGTGTGGTGAGCAGGTACATGGTGCACCAGAGCGGCGTGGTGGTGGTGATGGTGATCGACAATGCGCGCATGGTGGTGGAGGAGGGGACCGTGATAAGCTTCGGCGTGATGCAGATCGTGGGCGTGCAGGTGCTCATCGTGATGGTGGTCCTGGTGGATGACATGATGGTCAATCACAGGTTTGACGTAATGCAGGAAGTGATGGGGCTCATGATGCACCACCTTGGTCACATGATGCACTGGCTCCACATGGTGGATGGATTCGTGGTGGACAATTTTCGCGGCCGCTGCGGAATGGTGCACATCATGGTGGACTTCGTGATGAATACCGTGGTGTGCGTCATGCACAACAGGATGTACGTCGATATGAGCGCTGTGTTCGTCATGGTGGTAGACAGGATGCGCATCGATGTGTTGCGAATCGCCGCTAGCGTCAATCACAATGGCGGATGAGTGGCCGAGATGGATGCCGCTGCCGTGTGGGATATCGACATGATGGCCAGCTTCAACAATGTGTGTGTCGTGGCCATGGTGTGGCAGGAGGCCGGCGTGCGCCGAGGCGAGGGCGAGAATCAAAATGCAGATCACAGACTGTGGACGGGAAAAAAAGAGGGGGATGTAGTTTGAAATACTTGGTGATTGGTTATAAACAAATCTGTTACAAAGGAATAAATTCAGAGAGACAGATAAATAAAAAATTCACTAGGATCGTTTTGCGAGTTGTGGTGATTTTTACTTTGTGTTCCAATAATCGCACTTCACTTCGGTTCAATACACACCTTCATTACTAAGATTTCACGCTTGATTTCAATTGAAACAAAAGATTTAAGGCACGAACGCGAACTCCGACTTTGCTGTCGAACTGTGTGAACTCAACTGATATCCAATTTGTCGCTCCCACGCATTTTTATACACACTTTGCGTTGCAGCGTTTGTTGCTGTTTTCAATTGCTTTGCGAAATGCCAACGGCTCTAATGTTGTTGCTGCTTGCACTTGTGTCTTTCCCACTGTACACTGACCAACGTATAGGGCCCCGCTGCCAAAAGAGCGAATAACTGCGCCACTCTCGCTGTTTTTTTTTTTTTCAAAAAAGGGCTCAGTGGCCCACACCACGCTGGGCACGCACTGAGGAAGTTGCCGCTAAGCCAAGCCAAGCCAAGGTGTCTTGAGTTCCCCGATGTAAACGTGCGTTCAAACGAAAACGAAACACTTGCGCCGTCCGTATGCCCGCAACGAAAGTGACATTAAAGCCATGAAATGTGGCGCATGCGCAGCATATTAATTTTACGTCAAAGAATTCTACGAAACAGTGGCGAAGTAGTGAGTTCGATGGCGCGATGTGCTTTTCTTGTAGGCAGCATTATTGCCAGCCACGCACCGCATTTGAAACGCAGTCATGCAAGTTGAAAATCCGTTCACCTAACTGGTGGTCAGTTACATAATACGGTAGTAAAAATAGTCAGCGATTCGGCCTTCGAAGCGTAATTGCCTAATTTTATTTTATTATCAGCTAAATCGGCCAATAGCCGCATTCAAAGAAGCACTGTTACGCACTCGGAAGCGACATAAATTTAAATTGCCTATCTTGCACACACACTCACTTAGGTTTTTCTTTGTAATCCGCCATTCCACGCCCAAAATCCACCCAACCCATGAGAGTTCGCCGCAAACAGCTGTTGGCTCAGCAACAGCTGGCGTCTCTTCGCATTCACTGGCTCGCCAAAACTCTCAGCGATTTGCTTTGCTTCTTTTGTAAAACCAAAAAAAAAAAAAATAAGCAAAGTGCACCACCACCCACCCAAGTCAATAAACCAGCTGCCAAAATAGTCAAATAAATATTTCCATGCGCGCTGTTGCTTTGGCTTTAAATTCTACTAAGCGCTTCTATGATTATTGGGCAAATTTTTGCTCGCCACATAGTGAAAGCTTTTATTGCTTTATCGCACAATCACATACTTATTTCCAAATATCGAGCCAAGCGATAGACATGTTTATAAATCAGGCATATTGACATTTATATACAAAACTTATACATCAGAGAATGGCCTGAGTCCGTCGCAACAATAAGTAAATCGCATTTGTAACTTTCATACCCGAGTATTATTCTTTTGAAAAAAAAGTAAATAAAATTGGAGATCGCTCAGATCATTCAAAGTTTTCTATGTATTTTTTATTGAAAAGAAAACAATTTTTCGTAGAAATAAATAGGATTCTAGATATTTTTTCGATCGGAAAACTCCGTTTCTTTTCAGGAGACTTCCAATAATAGCACACAATTATTTATGTTACCATTTTTTAATACTTGCGATTTCTTATGGGCTCCCCCTTGGATTATTTTGAGTTTTAGGGGACCTATTAAAAAGAGTTACTATTAAAAAATGATTATATAAGCAATTGGGTACTACTATTGGGAGTCTCTTTAAGAGGAAAGTATTGATTTTCAAGAATTCGATACAAATAAAATACATTAAAAAACTTTAAGCGAACTCTAAATATTTTTTGATTTCAAAATAAGAAAACTGGGATATATTTTCTTTGGTATAGGACAATTCTTGAGTGCATTGAAATCCCAGATTTACTTTTTTTAGACCACCCTAATGCACATGCATGTACATACTAAGAAATTACATTCATATGTCTGTCGGGGGCTTAGGGCGCGAAACAAAAATAAAAAAACCATGTTTAGTTTTTCCAAAATTAAATTATTCATTTGTTTTATTAATTAATTTCTTATTTAACGGAAAATATTCTTGAACATACACACCGCTCACTTACTTCAAAACAGCTTTTAAGTTTTGAATTTATACAGCAACAAGCAATATAAAATAACAACCTTTAACACAAGCTTTTATTAGTGGTTAGTAAAAAAAAAGAAAAATGGACCCGCGGAACACTTAATGGCTAAGTTTTTTTTAGTTATTTCTTTCCATTCAAGTATTATAATTAGGTTCAAAATCGGGCCATATGTACGGGTGTTTCAAATATCTGTACACCTGCGCCACCTGGCGAATTAATTCAGCTTTCATATTGCATTATCATTGAATTCTGAGCTAAGTGACATTTTCAGTCTCTATCTCAGCGGGAAGTTGGTTAAAAATTGATTGCAAGATTTGATTACACGCAGGTGAAACTTAGTAAAAGCTGGGGAAAATGAAGACACATTCTAATGAACTATTTTCAATTGATACGCTATACAATTTTTACACAACATAAAAAAACAGGTAGTGTTCGTTTCTGCGTACTTTACTTGATTTTGTATTACTTTGGATTGTGACACTATGAAAGTGAATATGAAAGGAAGCGATATGTTCTTATATTTACGACCAGCTTAATATCTACTTTTATTACCGGTAAAACAATATCCCCTCAACATTTCTAATTGCTTTGTCTATTCTTCCGTTGTTTGTTTAATGTCCAATAAATTTTTATAAAAGTTTAGCTCTTTATAGAACCCAAATCTTACAAATACAGATTACAAACTTTGTACAAAAATTAGAAAAATTCAACAAATATCTCCAAAATGTATAGCTATTTGTTCAGAATGTTTAAAAAATTCTAAGTATGCAGTTTGGTATCCCATCATTGATTTTTGATAATCTATTTTTCCTGATGGTGTTATGCGTTTTCTTCTATAAAAAGTATGATCGACTTGTAAACAGGTTTCTTTGCCGAGAATAACAAAGAGAATGTGTGATGAGTAGTAATGCATGCGCTTGTAAGTGGCAAGATAAAATAGTATGCGACGGCGATCACCCACAACCGTTTCAAAAGCGAGTATATGAGTCAGAAAAATAGGCACTCCTACTGTTCTCTGATACACATAAATACACACACATATGTAGTCACATACTACGTTAGTGTTCCCTTTGCGCCGTTTGCTTAAATGTATAGATATCGCTGACCGACTTAAAATTTATTACAAAGCAAAATAATCAAATGCAAAATCTAAATATTCATCACCGCTCACTCGGCCGCGTACGTGTTTTGGCGTAGAGCCCCTTTGTTGGCATTTGATTGTGTGAGCTTTTTGTGTTGACATTTTTTCCACTTAATTTTAGTACCTTACTTGGGAAGGCAAATGCTCTTAGTTAGTTTTTCAGATACTTTTGACTATAAAGTATTTTGAACTATGGTGACTAAGTATTAAGGATCACCAAGTAGTTTTACTCACTTTACTTATAAGGTAAAGGGGTGCAAATAGAGGTGTAATCGAAGAGGAAACGAATTAATTATATTTGGGGAATCAATAAGTCGCACGGCCACTTCAATCTATGAGCGCTGAGCAGCAAACTCAAATGTTTCAATGGCAGGAGGCAGCCATGGTCGTGTGGTTAGAGGCATTAGCTGATATTTTTAGAAGAAAATAATCGGTGAGTATTGCGTTATCTTTTGAGGCACTGACATGTTGCTCTCCATATCAGAAGGTTTAGCTGAGTATTGACTTTCTTTGAGCAGATGGGACTGCAACCATATTTTGGGATTGCTGCCTCGTGGCATAAACATCGGCCTCGAAGAGGTCTGATTGACCCCTTTCTTTGCTTCTGCCTTATCTTAGCAGGGATTTGGAATAAGACTTCTGGTGTTACTAATTTTCTTCATATACAAAAATGGTCGTGCTGGTTCGACACCATAAAAAAACTGCCAAAATCAAGGGTAAGTCTTAGTTACCTCAAACTTGCATTTTAATGGTCTACAAAACTGCATAATCAGAATCTACAAGGAACTCTCCATAATCCGCAAATACAAAGCTCTGAAATCACTAAAATATTTTCCAAGCGGAAACACCATTTAGGTATGTGAACATGTGCTCCTATAGCTAGGCGGCTATTAAGCTCTTGAAGTCGAACTAATAGCCATATTTAAGAAAACTGCAAGGCAAATGATCTTGTTAGACATACCTCGTTTTCGGGCTCTATTGGCTATGTGTAGCATGTTGCTGGAAAGATATGGGCTAAATAATTAAGTTTCCCTACCCACGGGTAGATCGGAGGATGTATGAGGCTCCAAAACAATTTGCATCACTCGATAGTGGTGTAAATTGCTCATAGAATCCCTCACAACCTAATCTGACCTGCTGAGGCTTTGAGCTGGGGTCTCCTTTCCATTAGAAATAAAATCATCCGGTTTGGTAGGGCAGCCATAAGACCGCTGTAATCTCACTAAAATTTAGTGGGTTAGTTTATTGAACTACAAGCAAGGCAATTTTAGTATTTTAATAAAAAATACAAAAGCGCCACTAGTTTGGCCTTTCACTGTCATTGCTTTGATCCGGCTATTGTCTGTTCGCAAATTTGCGTTAAAATTCTAAAACAATATAGCAAATGCCGCATAGCTCAATTCGCAAAATCTAATATTTTATCTGTGGCGGTTTTTCAAATTTAATATTTTTTTCGTTTTTCAAATGCCTCCAACTAAAAATAGTCTAAAAATAGACAAAAGAATAATAAAATCCACCGCAACACTTGCAAACATTGTTTATGATTTGTGGCGAAAATTTTAAATTTATCACAAATCACAACGTCAGCCGTTGAATTATAGCGCTCGCCAGCTCTTTTGTGCAACGGTGACAACGTGCGCTGTAGTTGTTGTTTTTTTATGCGATAGCTTGTAGCCTTGTTGTTGATTTGTTGCAAGCGTCGGTGGTGGTGGCGGCGGCGTTCGTTGTTGGCGGCGTCATTAAATTAGTTGCTAAACATTTCACCACATTCATTATATGTATGTATGTATGTATGCATGTAAATGTAACTGCGTGCTAAGTGCAAATGTTTGCGGCTCACTGTTTGC